ACGTGATTGGTCAAATAGGTGCTTAAGAACACGTCCGTAAAGTATGGCGCGTTCTTTCCTAAAAGTCTTTATTGATTCAGAGTAAATAGCCTTGTCAATTTGAAGTGACCTTTATTCTAATTGTTCTTTGTTTGGAATTTCAAATGGTGATATACATACTGTACTTATATATGTAATCTATATAGGGTGTATATGTACGTAGTGTGTAAAGTGATGTATAAGTATAGGTGTGTATGTATAATATGTATATGAATGCATATACAGTATATATGTATGTATATATACTGTATATGTATTTGTGTGTACATATTGTATAAGTTTTCAGTTTGGATGCAAATTGGTTGTTTTGTTTGCTCTATATTTGTTTTTTGTTTTATTCTGTTTACTTTCACTTTGGATGTTCGTTTCGATTAATTAATTAAACCACTACTTTAAGTTTTATAACTGTGTACTCTTTTATACATGCACTTTGGTTGATCATTTCTTTTATTAGTTAAGCATTTCTTAAAGTTCTACACTACGGTAGTTTCGAAGCGGTGACAAAGACTACAGGAGTAGCCGAAATATTCACCTAATAAATTTTAGTGTTTCTAAAGTCAACATCTTACATATTTAAGTTTCTTTACTGTTACGTTATATTATATTGTACATATATATTATATTGCACCAATGTTTTGTTTAATAGGCTTAATGTATATTTGCTTTTGTGTAATGTAATTACAGCAGATATCCGCCCTTGATGGCATTTGTAGCCTTGGATAGAAATGAAATACAGGTATATAAAAATATATACAAAAACTGAAATACTATTAGGCTAGCACTTATTCTCTTTTGTTTAAATGGTGGCTCTGAAAAGAGCCGTTTGGTTTGATAGATGAACAGCTTATCCACCGAATCCGTACAGGGTTCGGCCTTGTCTCTTCAAAGCGTAGACGACATCCATGGCGGTGACGGTCTTTCTCTTAGCATGCTCGGTGTATGTGACAGCATCACGGATGACATTTTCAAGAAATACTTTCAACACACCACGGGTCTCTTCGTAGATGAGACCAGAGATACGCTTAACACCACCACGGCGAGCAAGACGACGGATAGCTGGTTTGGTGATACCCTGGATGTTATCACGTAACACCTTACGATGACGCTTAGCGCCTCCTTTTCCAAGTCCTTTTCCTCCTTTACCACGTCCAGACATAATAATTGTTTTTAACTACTTGTTCGAAGGTAATTCGAAATGTGCTTGAAGTTTGCTGGCGTTGCATGACTTATTTAGTGTATGCGGACGTGGTATGATTACTAGCGTTTGTTTAAGTACAGACTTCGTAGGGGGAGTTTTGAAAGCAGTATTCAATTGTTTATTGCGAATATTTTCAGCAAAAATTTCAGCAAAATTGAAATTGGTTTATATCTTATATTCTTCGGTTGAAGTAAGAAACCAATACTATTAGTTACCAAACATTGTGTTTGATATATTAGAAAAAAAGGCCTATCTGTACAGGTAAACCCAACAAAGATTAAGGTTTTGCACCATGCGTGTCTAGATATCTCTTTGTTCCTTCCTGTCCTTCTATTAAATGCATTATTAAATTTGTTTTTAACACTTGTCTTAAAATATGAAAGTTGCTAAAGTTTGAAAATGTTAACTTCATAAATGTGAAAAAAAAACAACAAATGAAATATATATAGCTTTTATGAATGTATATATGATTAGTATTATAAAATGTAGTTTGAACTCCCTATAAGTCTGAAACCACATATCCATCCATACTCAACAATCAACAGATACTGTATACATTTTAAACATGACAAGAACATTATATTCAAAATTTTATAATTATTCATATTATTATTATTAATATAACCTTTTATTTTTTATGCTAGATAACCGGTTTAACGTTCCCCAGTATAAATAAAGAAATATATAAGTTATAAATATATACACGTTTAATTATTAGTTATTTTATGGTAATAAATTATATCAAAACCATGGGTTTTAATAAAATTGATATCGTTGTTCAACAGATTGCCGTTGGCATGTTTTGATCATCATTATAGGCCTAATTAAAAAATGATGTTTATATTTTGCGGAATTATAAAAATAAAATTTTGAAAAGAATCCCATCTCAAAAAGAAGCCCATCCAATTAATGGTCATGATTTTGATTCAAGGATTTACGGTTTTTATTATACAGTAATACTATACAAATAATTATACAGTTTTGAATATATGCTATTGTAATGTTCTTAAAATGTATAGGCCTATACCGTATCTGTTGAATTCAATTACATTTTATAGTACTAATATATACAATCAAAATGCTGTATACATTTTCTGTTTTTTTAAACAATGTTTAGTCTTTTATTGAATATATGTAGTCGGAGTTAACTTCAACCTAGTCTTGCTAAAAAGATACACCTCCTCCATTAAACGACTTCTACAAATTGAATGCATGCACGAAACCATGTAGGCCAAACCCAGTATCGTTTCGATTATAATTGTGCTGGAATTTTTTTTTTACAATAACAAAATAATATTGATACTGACACTGTTTCAAAATTAAAAAAATAAATCAATCAAAAAGTGCATTCTATCTAGATTTGAAGCCCATTGGCTTCTATTAGAGATTGCTGCTTTTCAAGATACTTTTGCAAGCAGAGGGGTGGTTTATTTCTTAGATGCGGGCTTATTCTCGAGATTAAGCCCATCCAATTACATTTTGTTAATGGATGTAATTTTCTGAAATAATGTTGAACGATGGGCTAATGGTTTATTCGGAAATTGTTGAGAATATACTAATCATAGTGTCCTAATTGTGTTTTGATAAAATTGATTTTATAGGGGACACAGCACGAAATGTATAACGTTTGTTGGGAAAACCCTGTAGCAACGTTATGAAAACTCTAAACGTTAGGCTCGTGATACTATCATACAAAGAAACGAACACACACACATGTACGCATTTTAACGGCCTTATTTCAAATCTCTTTTGTGTATTTGTTGGCTCTGAAAAGAGCCGTTTGGTTTGAGAAGATACAGTAGTTGATTAGATCTACTTGGTCTTGGCCTGGGTCTTCTTTGGCAAAAGTACAGCCTGGATGTTTGGCAGTACGCCTCCCTGTGCAATGGTCACACTTCCGAGAAGACGGTTCAACTCTTCATCGTTACGGATGGCAAGTTGAAGATGACGGGGGATGATTCTGCTCTTCTTGTTGTCACGGGCAGCGTTGCCAGCCAACTCCAAGATTTCAGCAGTCAAGTACTCGAGTACAGCAGCCATGTAGACTGGGGAACCAGCACCGACACGAGATGCATAGTTACCCTTTCGCAAGAATCGGTGAACACGACCGACTGGGAACTGAAGTCCAGCACGGCTTGATCGGCTCTTGGCCTTTCCCTTAGCTTTTCCACCTTTACCACGTCCAGACATTATTATTGTGTTTCGTTCTTCGGTTATTTAAATCGAGAATGATACTTATCCAATGAATAGTCACGTTTATATAGCTTGCTCAATTGTTGCGTTTGACTTATAGCGCTCATTGGATTAACCAATCACAGACAGTCCCGCTTGCCTGAGCTTCCTAGTGACCTAATCGTCTGCTATCAACCATTCTATTGTACTATTTGGCGTGATGGTAAAGGATGTACTATACTCCTAAATTTCAGGTACAGTATTACTGTATATTATATAATAAATATGCAGTAACGTTGTATTAATAAGTACAGTAATTAAAATAGTTAATCAAGTTAAGAATACACTGCCTGGTATAAAATACATAGAAATTTGCTAAAATTAAGCAAAAATGTAAATGATTGATTATTTCTATTTTTTATTTTTCAGTTCGATACAAGCGGTATATTTTTTATAACTTTATATTCTTTCCTTTATCAATTCAATGCCTTAATTTGATTCACGGTAATAGTATTATAGGCCTATTTGTGTTCCGAAATGTTAATATTTTCTTCACTGTTTGTCTCCGGTACACACACTTTTCTTTATATACATACACACATACATATATATCTGTCTCTTATACACATCTAGATGTGTATAAGAGACAGTATAATATATATATATTTACAAAACTTAAAATCTGCATCGGCAAACGTATATATAAATAAAAACTCAAGGTGTTTAGTATTGCCAAAAGTAGTTTATTGAGTACACAAAAGTTTTCGGGCATCGCCCTTCTTAAGTATACGTTGAGATATAAAATAATTACCCTTTATATCTTTTGTTTTATTGCGATCCTATGTCTCTTCTATGTATATGGGTATGTGTATATATGTATATGTATTTGATATGCGATTTCCTTATTCTTCTGCAATTAATTCTGTAAATGTATTTTTAATGTGTTTTGTATGTTTTATCTTCTTGTTTGGAGGTTTTTTCGATGAATAAATAAATAAATTGTTTCCCATGAACCAGGTAGCGTTTAAACACACTTAAATGATGAATTTATGTGGCTATTTGCTATATTATGTTCAGAAGAAATATTAAAACTAAATAAAAAACACGCACATATTATATACAGTACGTACATTGCACACAAATCTCTTTTGAACTATTGGTGGCTCTGAAAAGAGCCGTTTGGTTTGAAATTGCGCCGTCATGTTTACTTGGAGCTGGTGTACTTGGTGACAGCCTTGGTGCCTTCAGACACGGCATGTTTAGCCAATTCACCGGGCAGCAAAAGACGAACGGCAGTTTGGACTTCCCTGCTCGTGATGGTGGATTTCTTGTTGTAGTGAGCAAGACGAGATGCTTCACCAGCAATACGTTCGAAGATATCGTTGACGAAGCTGTTCATGATTCCCATGGCTCTGCTGGAGATACCAGTGTCTGGGTGAACTTGCTTCAACACCTTGTAGATGTAGATGCTGTAGCTCTCCTTGCGCTTACGTCTTCTCTTTTTGTCGCCAGTTCTAACGGCCTTAGCCTTACCGGCTTTTTTGGCAGCTTTTCCTGAAGTTTTTGGAGGCATGTTTTCTATGTAGTCTACGAATAGATGAGTGACAAACTCTTCAACGAGCACGGTATTTATAGATTAAGATATGCAAAGTAGGACTTACCGCTATGCCGTTTTATCTCAAAGCGTCCTATTGGTTGTTGAAAGCGCGCGATTTATTGAATGGGTGACTATATAATTTCATGTGGCTTTTCAACCAATGTGGCTCCCGCCTAAAATGCGGGCAAAATGTTCCTAAAATCACATGGCCAAAATTGTACTCAGACCAGGGGCGGAATCCAGAGATGTCCAAAAAGGGAGGGAGGCGAAAGTCGGTACGATCGAGACAATACTATCTTAGGGTGTCCGGGGAAAATTCCCCCACGAAATTTGTGTGTTCTAGACGCCCGAAAATAACATTTGAAGCGTTTTTGGCTATCCTTTTTTCTTTTTTTTAACCTCCCAAAGGGGGAGGGCCGGGGCGATTATCATATTTTCTGTTATAGTGGTCGTATGTTGGTACACTGGTATTTTACCATTATATTTATCAAACTATTTAAAAGTATGTATTTAATAAGCGCCTACCCAATTAAAACCAACCAGGTTAGTTAGTCAGTACAACATTATAAACTCCTCTTTGCCCAAATAAGTCATTTTACATATTATTGACTATGTATTTAGAGTGTAGTTATTAAGTTAATAGGTGAACTCAATACGAGGTTTACCTTGCAATATTCGAATATTATTTTTAGTACCTTTTACTATACAACACATGCAACAGTGAAACGCCTACGGTTTATCGGGGGCGAATACCCCTGCCTAGTTCAATGGGGGGGGGGGCCGAAGGACAAATAAACAGCTCTCTTCCAGTAGAGCCACGTCTTTACGGTCGAGTAAAAACACCCAAAACTAGCAAATTAAAAAAAAATGGTAATCCCAGGATCACGATTGCTCATGTTGTCTGTGTTCAGAGAATCTTGTGTCTATCTTTGGAAGTGATAAAAAAAAATAATAAAGTATTTGGCTCAGAGTGCGTCTTCCAAAAACCGAAAGGCCCACTAATTAATCTCAGATAAGATAGTATAATACATACTGTACTCCAATTATCGAAATGCCCGCCATCGTGTCGGGATTGAATATTTCGACATTAATTATGTCATCATCAGCTAACTGTTCAGAAAGACACAACCTCAGTGAAAAATATAGGCCTATACAGCAGGGGTGGATTTAGGGGGGGCCGGCCCGGCCCCGGCCGCGTATTTTTTTTCTGCAGTACACATAAGCAAATATATGTTTCTTTTAGCCAATCAGAATGTAGGAAGCCTAAAATGACGTCAGATAACTATTGAATAATTAATCAGCAGTGAGACTCGCTTCC